TTTAGTTTAAAAATATATAAATCTTAAATTCAATTTTTAAAATTTTGTATAAATTAGTGTTTAAATAATATATATCATCCAACCATCATCTGAATTTTAGATTGTTTTTGTGGTTTAGTATTCCTAAGTTTTTTTACATTTAGCCTAGGTTCGAATCTCTTCAAGTCCATTTTCCTTTCCATTTTTTTAGCATTATCTATAATATAAGATATATATAGTATTGTGTAAATTGGGCTTATCTGAGTTGTTAATGCGTGCGCTCTTTTCCTAACCTTTTGAATCAGAGGAGTTCGAATCCCCTTTCCCTTTCTTTTTATATTTCTTTATTTGTTATAAAAATTGTCACAATATGATTAGATTATTAAATTAAATTAAAATTAGGATCAAATTAATAGAAAATAGAAATATTCAAGACTAAATATATAATTATACTAGTTTTATTTACTATCATATCAGGACCAAATTAATAGAAAATAGAAATATTGAAGACCAAATATATAATTATACTAGTTTTATTAACTATCACATCATCACTTTCGTTAAATATTAATTTCGGGTACTTGATTGGATATAATTAAATAATTGTATAATATGACTGACAAAATCAAAAGATCGATGGTAAAAATAAAATGATTTAATAATTAAGTGGTCAATAATATAATTTACCAAAAAATTTAAACCTCTAACCGATAATCACATCAATTATGTCACACCCTCATACCCTTTAAACTCAAACTGTTCACGGCCCGTTACATTTATTTTTGTCGAGAAGCGTTAAACTCAATATTGTTCCAACAAATCCATTTGAAGCCTTATGTTTTAAATTTAATATTTATTTCATTAAAAAACATTCTAATGTTAATGAATTTAGATTGAAATTATTATTTTTGATCTCCCCCTTCCATCTTTAAATTAGACTGAAATAAAATTTTATTATTTTTCTCATCGAAAAGAGTCTCTCTACCTATAAAATTATCGAAAAATAACCCTTAATTATTGAAAACTACTATAATCGAAAAGATGAATCACTTTTCTTTCTCATTCTTTATTCGCTTTTCTTCTAAGGATTATACGATAAATAGGTACTTAAAGGTATATTTTTTATTTAATTATTTAAAGTATTTTTCTATCGAAATAAATATCTAAATTACTTCTTTAATTCAAGTGGGTACTTAAAGTTTTTTTTGGTCAAAATATGTACTTAAGTATTCAAATTTTCTCATCTAAATACCTAGGGGTTGTTTGGTTAAGGGAGTGTGGGATTCCCACATTCTTCCGTTTGGTTGGCCAATAATCTCATTCCCGGTAATGTTTTATTATCAATAATGAATTTTTTGGGGTATATTACCGGGAATATCATTACCCCATTCCTTTAAGTATTGTTGGATTACCGGCGTTTTGGAAATGCTCTTAATTTTTTTTCAAAAATATCCTTCTGTCATTGAATAATAAAAATTCTACGAAGGTTAAATTACAAATTTATCCTTAAACTATTTTAGATTTACAAAAAAATCTATAATTAAAATTTTATTTGAAGTTCAGGGGTTAAAATAAAATTTTACCCTTTCATTAAACCTTTTTATATTTTCAATTTTGTAAAAAAATTATATAAATTTTATGAATTTAAATTTTTAAAGAAAATATATAAATATTTTCCAACTTGTTAAAAAACAAATATATAATAAGGACAATTTGGTCAAATATATATTACAATAATCTTTTATTCTTTTAACCAAACACGATAATCTTACCTTCTTGCTAAACCAACCAAACACAAAATACAACATTCCCAATAGTCCTATTCCCTGGTAATCTTTTATTCTCACTGATAATCTTACATTCCGTGAACCAAACGTACCTCTAAAGTATTCTTTAATTAATGTTATGTGTCAACTTTTTTAGAACCTGGATTAAAAAGTTTGAATAATTTAAGTATTTATTTTGATAAAAAAAACAACTTTAAGTAATTAATTTGATAAAAAAAATATTTTTCATACTTATTTGATATAAGTTTCATTTAATATCTCTCATGTTCATTTTGTTCTCTTATTCATCATCACCGTTACATTGCATCTAAACATATATTTCACCATCTAAACTTAATCGAAATGCACTCTTCATGATGAAGCCGTGGAAAGCCCCAGGTGATAATGAGTATCATGCTGGTGTTTATCAAGAGATGTGGGACACCTTCTGCCAGTCCCTAACATCAATTGTTCATACGGCTCCGACGACCGGGTCTTTTCCGAGTGACCTCAATGTCACTTTGATTGCTCTCATTAATGTTACTTTGATTGCTCTCATTCCTAAAGTTCATGCCCCGTAATCGGTAAAACAGTTTCGGCTTATCAGTTTATGTACTGTTGCTTATAAAATTATCACTAAAGTTCTAGTGAATAGATTACGTCCTCTCCTGGATAAGTTGGTGCATCCCCTCCAGACGAGCTTCATTCCCGGACGCCAAGCTGCTGACAATATTCTTTTGACTCAGGAAGTTATTCAAAAAATTAAACGTTGCAAAGGAAAAAACGGAATCGTCGTCATAAAAATTGATCCTGAGAAAGTTTACAACAGAGTTCGTAAGCTTACAACAGAGTTCGTTGGGATTTTTTTGGAGGATACTCTTATCCAATTTGGCTTTCCGCAAACTTGGATTGATCTCATACTCGAGAACTTTGGAACGGTGAAAAAACAGAGTATTTCAGACCTTCCCGGGATTACGCCAAGGTGACCCCATCTCGCCTTACTTATTCGTTCTTTACATAGAGAGACTTGGGCAACTGATCCAGAAAGCGATTGGTAACGGCATGTGGAAACCAATAAAGCTCGGGAGAAACAGACCCTAGATCTCGCACTTGTTCTTCGCTGATGACCTTTTCTTATTTGGAAGGGCCACTGAGAAGCAAGCAACCATTTTAAGGAGGTCCTTAATCTCTTCTGTTCCACATATGGAGCGAAGGTCAGCTATGAAAAATCCAAATTTTATCTATCTCCTTCCGCCAATTCGAGGACGAGTCGAAGATTTGGGCAGATTATGAACATGAATTCTTCATTGGATTTAGGCAAATATCTTGGGGTGCCTCTTCTTTACAGCTGAGTTTCGAAGCCGACGTATACCATGATGACTTCGAAGCTCCCTATAAGCATTGTTAACGAGATTGATAGATTTAATCGAAGGTTCTTGTGGGGAGGGAACGAGGAAAAACGTGTTCCCCATTTGGTCGCTTGGGACGAAGTTTGTAGACCTAAACGATTTGGCTGGTTAGGTCTTCGCACAATGAGCAAATATAATGTTGTTCTTCTTCAAAAGACAGCGTGGCGGTACCTTAAACAACCCGATTGTCTTTGGGTAAAAGCCTTCAAAGCGATCAATGGAGTACAGGGTGATCCTATACATTTTGTAAGCAACTCCGTCTCTTGTGCTTCTTCTTGGTCACATACTTGGCGTAGCTTAAGGTTCGGTCTCCAAGGGCTCTCGTCTGGCCTTGTGCTTTGTATTGGTGATGGAAAGGAGACGCTATTTTGGCATGACAACTGGCTTGGCCATCCCTTAGCGCTCAACCCAGCAATTAATGCCGATTTCATTGACGATTCGAGCAAAGTTTGTGATTTTATTACCGTGGATATGGAGTGGGATTCGAACAAGGTCTTTGCCATGCTCCCCATGGAAATTGCTTCCCAAATTATTGGCTATCCCCTCCCAAAATTTTCATCCATGAAAGATGGTTATGTCTGGAAGCTCAAGGCCAATGGCCAGTTCTCTACTCGGTCGGCTTCTCTCTCCCTTGTTGCTGAAAATTCTGGTGACCTGGGATTAAATTTCTCATGGATTTGGGTTCTTCCTGTTATTCCTAAATGGAAATATTTTATTTGGTTGGCATGGAGGAACAGACTGCTCACTAATGCTAAGCGAGCATCGTGGGTCTTTCAACCTCGGCTAGCTGTATTGCTTGTGGATGCCATTCGGAAACCTTAATCCATATTTTGCGTGATTATCATATAGCTCGTAAAGCCTGGGCTCTTTGTATTGATGGCTCGAGATGGGGTAGTTTTGCCACCATGGATATGCACAACTGGATCCTGGAAAACCTTGATGTGTCCAAACATTCACTAGCCGAAATCACTGAGTTCGCCTGCATAATCTGGAGACTTTGGGTCGAACGATGTAAGAGAAGTTTTTAACCCGATTAGTTTGTTTATGATGAGTCCGGATTGCGGAGGATCGTAGTTACTCTAACGAGAGAGCAACTTCAAACCTATGCGAAACCTGCTCGATCACTTGCTCCTATATATCTGGTATTGTGGAAGCCGCCTATGGAAGGGAGGGTAAAACTCAATACTGATGGGGCCAATAAAGGGAACCCGGGCATTGCTGGTGCGGGGGGGTCTTCTTCGAAGTGCCTCAGGCGAATGGATTATTGGTTTTGCTTCCCACTTATGAATTTGCACGAGCGTGGCAGCTGAAAGTTTTGCCATTCGGATTGGACGGGCCCTTGCTTGGAAATACGGTTTTTGTAATGTTGTGTGTGAAGTGGATGCCCAAGTGGTTCTTCAACTTTCGGAATCGGGAAATGCCTCCACTCATCCGTTGGGAGTCATCGTCGATGACATTCGGATCCTACACACATTTCGGGAAGGAAACTTTTGTGATAGTCTTTCAAAGATGGGCTGCGACCTTGAAGAAGATCTTGCTGTTTTCAATTCCCCTCCAGCGGAAGTAGCTTCATCCTTGGCTGCTGACTCAAGGGGAGTTTCGTTCCCCAGGGACTTTAATTTGCTTTAGTGCTGCTTTTCAATTCCTTTTGTAACCCAAAAAAACTATAATATTTTTTCGAATAACTATAATATTACAGAATTAATTTATATAGAACTTTTGGACTTTAAAGCCTGTCTTCAACTGGACCTATTAACATGTCGAATTAAGCCCAATATTGGGCTTCTGAAAAGCATTTCTGAGATCAGAAACCCTAACCCACACCATATATAAATACTTTTAAGGCTCTCACATTTTCATTCGCTAGGGTTCTCAACCAAAAGAAAGAAAAATGGCGGAAAGAGCACCGATCGAGTCAGTACAGTGCTTCGGCCGCAAGAAGACGGCGGTGGCGGTAACCTACTGCAAGCGAGGCCGTGGTCTTATCAAGATTAACGGCTGTCCTATCGAGCTTGTTGAGCCCGAGATCCTCCGTTTCAAGGCCGTCGAGCCAATCCTACTCCTTGGCCGCCATCGTTTCGCCGGCGTCGACATGAGGATCCGTGTCAAGGGCGGAGGTCACACATCTCAAATCTACGCCATCCGTCAGAGCATTGCTAAAGCCCTCGTCGCATTTTACCAGAAGTACGTTGATGAACAAAGCAAGAAGGAGATTAAGGATATCTTGGTCAGGTACGATAGGACTTTGCTGGTGGCTGATCCGAGAAGGTGCGAACCCAAGAAGTTCGGTGGAAGAGGTGCCAGGGCAAGGTTCCAGAAGAGTTACCGTTGAAGAACTTTTCTGGTTTGTTTTGGAAGTTTAGTTTTGTTGTGTTTTAAGGGTGATATTAAGTTCGTCTTCATTATGAATTAAGTTTTGTCAAGTTTGTTTGGGTAAAATTAGCCATGACTGAACTTTAGAATTTAAATGTTTGCGTTGCTTTAATCTTAATGTTGACCCAGTCATCAGATTACTTTTTTTTATTTGATATATGCCTGCTGCTTTTCATTTTTAGTTCGGTAATTCAATGATTGTTTAGGTTTCTTTTAAACTGATCCATTTGTGTCAGCCATATTTGAATTAAAGTTTAGCGAGTGAAATAGATTTTCAGGAAACTAGGGCATAGTGTACCGCGTGAAATATGATTGCAAGAGACTAGGTGAGAAATTATAGAATGAATTGCATGATCTAGGATATGGCTTAAATAGGTCAACTGAGTTGATCTAGTAAATCTTCAAAAGCTTGTGCTCGTGGTAAGGAAGCATTTTTCATACTTGAAGCTAAACATTTTTAGGTTTGTTCACTAAAAATGTATGAGCTTTTGAACACTGAAGAGTAAGCTTGTAAATGAACCTAATGAACATGAATGATTGTATGTTCATGTTCGTTCGTTTTGAACTAAACGAACATAATTTATTGTTTATGTTCATTTATTAAGAAATTTAGCTTGTTTGTGTTCTTTTTTTAAAATGATAAATGAACACAAACGAATTAACATAAATGAACATAAAATTAATTGGTTTTATATTTGAGATGATTTTTTTTTCTTTGCAAATAATTTGAGGATTTATATTTTCTTTAATTGATTTGAGTATTTTTTTTATTTGGGTTTAAAATTAATTGGTTTTTAAAATATTAATGTGTTTAATATTTAAAGTTATTTACTTTTAATATTTCAAATGGATTTGAAGATTGAGGTGAATATAAACGAACATAAACAAATGGAGGGATTATTGAACATTCATGAACGTAAATGAAAGAATGAGTCTTTTTTGTTCGTGTTTGTTCATTTAATGAAACGAACATAAAGTCTTGTTCATGTTTGTTCGTTTAATATATAAATGAACCGCACACCGAATGATTAACAAACATTCAATTTGTTGCAGGCCTAATGAAGAGTTTGATATGAGGTTCATTTGGAACTTGAACTAGTTTTTGGTTGAGCTAAGCTTGGTAGTATTCTTAGAATTTCTATTTGTTATATTGTCGTATTCCCTGAATTTTCCACCAGGTGAAACTCTATGAATAATGATGGTTGCAGATCTTGTTTCGGTATCATCATTCAATTTGAGCTATCCTCAATGCTCTGCATTTGTTTGTGGTCCAATCTTTGAAATGCGTGTCATGTATTCAATGTTGATTCTTGATGATGATGTCGTAGCGGCGCTTTCTGGGAATAGAAACTTTTTATGATGTTATGCTGAAAAATATATGGTAGGATATAATCTCCAATTAGATTTAAATTTGGGCAATATAAGAAACATTCTAATGTGATGAGAGTGGAAATTGAAGATTCAACTATTCAATGGATCTTTTATAAAGGAGATTCTATTTTTACACCTTTGTTAGTATCAAACCATTGTTTTTAAAGTTAATTAACTTTAAAGAGTTAATTGCATTATATGTCTTCAAATTTTGATCCTCTATCTTGATTGGTTCCTAAACTTTTTAACATTTTATTTTCATTTGGACTTTTAAAGTTTCATTTGTATCCCCAAACTATGACTCTTGTTTTAAATTGATTTTCAAATATTTGAATGTTTTAATTCCATCTTAAACTTGTTAATACATGTTAACTATGTACTCCATTAATAAAATTTTCATAAAAGTTGTTAGCATGTGAACATTGATATGTATTAGTAGTTTGTGGATGAAGTTAAATTGTGAGGAGTCTATAAAATCTAAGTTGAATAGGTTTGTTTAATATATATATATATATATATTAACAAATCAAGTTACCTTAATGGTTAAAGGAATGATTTTTATTCTTAGAAGTCTCAGGTTTAACTATCAACAACGTAAATTATTTGAAAGTTTCATTTTTAAATAGTTAAAAGTATTTAGAACAGATATATATATATATATATATATATATATATATATTTATATTGATCGAATAAAATATATTTATAATATTATTTTTTAAATATATTTTGAAGATAAAATATTGATAATAGTATAAAGAAATCAATGAATTGATGAGATTTTTTTAAAAGAAAAATTATGGTAAAAAATCAAATTGAAAAAAATATAAAGTTAAGGGAGAAAAGCATAGTATATTTATTGTTAAAAAAAGAATTTAAGTTACATAGCTATTCTATATGTATTAAATTTGGTAAAAAAAATGAACTAAAAAAAAGGAGGTTGTTGAACTAAGAAGTAAGAAAATTATGTGAAGTTGTTGAATTAAATTGATAGGTATTTTACAATGACTTGGGAGTATGTAGTTTAAATTCGATAGAAGATAACCTTAAAATGAATGAAAAATTAAAAGAATAATGAAACTATGAATCAAACTATAAAACCTTCAAATAATTTATCTAAAATTTAGTTTTCTGGTTGACTCGAATTTTTTAAAATTAAACTTAATTGAATTTAAAATTTGAGTTAGATTTAAATAAATCAAGAGCTAAAGAAAAATGGGTATTTTAAAGTCAATTTGATTTTATTGACTCCTGTTCACGTCATTATAGATGTAATATATAATAGAAATTAGATTGATTATGTTTAAACACTCAATATCCTATAATTTAAGAGTGAAGAATGTCTAAATAATTTAGGTATTGTACAATCTTTTTAAGTAATAATATATATAAAGAATATTTTATAATATTCTTGAATCAAGTTTAAATTTTATTTAACTTTGCTAGGGTTTATTTTTCAAAAATGTTTCCTATCGATTTAGAATTCGTTGGTTCCAATATTTTTATATAATTTATTTAAAATATTTAGTTTCATATGTTAATTTTCATATTAATTTAAGATTTATATTTTTTCAATGTGGCAAAAGTTTTAAAAATAAAATAATTTAATTGTAGTTTAATATCAAATGATGAATTTGAAGGAATTGATCCACGGCTCTTCAATAATCAATCATCCACCGTGCATTATGATAAAAAATACACAATTATTATATTTGAAAACAGAATATGCGGTTTGCCGAACGGGAGCTGATGAAACTTGGGCGGCGGCGATGGTGGTTCACTTGATGCGGCGGCAAAGGGTGATTCCATCACCAACAGGGAGCATACAAATCTCAATCCTGGGGTCAACAGCGAGAGCCTTGTTGAGTTCCAAAACAAAGTCTCTGTAATACCTAACATACTTCCTCATCGGAGCATCAGGCGGAGCCACCACCGAGCCGTTCCACAGGGTGTTGTCGTAGCCGATCAAACCACCTACTTTCACCAGCTCAATCAGCCTCTTCTGGTAGTTTATGTAGTTGTCCTTATCGGCATCGACAAAGATAAAGTCAAACGACCCGTGATTCTTTTCCTGCCATATTTTTATATTTGATTCAGTTCATTTGACAATTTCTCAAGAAACAAAAAGAAGAAGATGGTTGGGGTTGGTGAAATTTACATCTTGGACTAATTCATCAAGGAAAGGCATTGCAGGTCCCTCTTTGAAATCAATTTTGTGTGCAACACCAGCTTTTTGGATAACAGGCAGACCCAGCTCGTAGTTTTCTCTGTTGATATCCATAGCCAAGATCTGCAAAAACAGTTTGTGGTGTTATTTAAAGGACAAATTCAATGATGAGGTAAATGAAAGGTACCTTTCCATCATGGGGGAGAGCAAGGGCAGTGGCTAAGAGAGAGTAGCCAGTGTAAACGCCGATCTCCATGGTGTTCTTGGCATTGATCAACTTAAGAAGCATGTTCAAGAACTGGCCTTCATCGGCTGATGTTGTCATAAGGTTCCTGTTTGAAAGAAATAATCAGCAAAGAGTTGTATATATATAATTTGAGAGATGGGAATGAAGAAATAACCATGGATGCTTGGCTGTTATCTCCCTGAGCTCTTTCATGGGTTCAGGCTCCCTGGGATACACACTAGTCTCCAGGATGTACTGTCAAAAAAAGAACCAAAATGAAATGAAAAACCAATTCCCAAACATGGGCTACAAATGAAAACTTACCTGGTAAAGTTCATCACTCTTCAAAAGGCTCTTGTGGCCAACTTCTTGGTGCCTACCAGCCTGAGATTGCTCTTCTTCTGCTTTGGCTGCCATTTTTTCTTTGGAGCTGAGCTGAATGAGGAAATGCAAGGAGATTATGTAGAACTTGAAAAACCCGGTTGGACCGACACTTTTGGGTTTTTTCCAACCGGGAGGGGTTGGTGAAGTCCATTGGGACCCAGCGTGCACTCGGCAGGCGAATGTGAGTTGGTAAGAGCTTCGTGAAATTAGAGAGAATTGTGGAAAACTAAATAGTTGGAGGTCAATTTAACACGACTGAACTATTATAGGGTAAACTACTTATTTAGTCATCCACTTATTACTTACTTTATGTATTGGTCACATTATTTTTATTTTTTTAAATCATGATGTTACCTTTTGTTTCTATTTTGATCCTTTACCATTAAAAAATTAATTGTGATGTTGGCATATCAAATGGCTTTCCCTTGTTCCCATATGTAATGGAGTAAGGGAGAGGTAAGATAGTAGGCTGCCCCTAACACCAGGTTGAGAGCAGCTTCCGTAGAAGACCTTCGAATTATGAAATGCCCTCCGTGGGACTCGATCCCACGACCTTAAGGTTAAGAACCTTGTGCTCTACCAACTGTCTATATGCAGAGATTTTTACACAGGGACTTATTTGCAGGGATTACTTCCCATTTCAGACGCACGTATGAAAACTGCATATGATGACTGTTCAACTATGTATTTATTAATTTATTTATACATGCATTGGATTTTTATCTTTATTTTTTAATTTTTCTGACTGTCGGAGGTCTTCTACGGAAGCTGTTCTCAACAGGGCGTTGGGGGCAGCCTACTACCCTACCTCCCCCTTACCTCATTGTATATGGGAATAGGGTTTTGTTGTTGTTATTGTTGTTGGCATATCAATATAAGATAATATCTCGTGAATATTAAAAATTAATAAAAAAATATTATATTAATACCATTATTAAATTTTAATGATGAGTGATCAAAATAGAAA